ATCCAATTTTGATTCATACCATTAAAATTTGAAGTGAGCAAATTCTTCTCAGACCCTCTTAGCGCGAATGAGGTTAGAGAGCAAGGATCTTATTCATCTGTCTTTCTTCTGATGGAAAATTTAACGTTTAAAACTGCTTATTTTTTATACACACTGCTTATGTTTAAATAAAACACTTACCAGCTCTAGGAAGCACCAAATTCAATCACAATAATCATTTGGAATATAGGAGGTTGATGTTTAGCAAAGTGGTGACGATACAATTAACCAGCTACATTCGTTCATCAATCATAGATCAGAACACAACTTGCACACAACAAGCATTTTAAAGTTTTTTCATGGTACACAGCCTACACTCAAATAATTCAATCCCTCAATAATCTCTTATTGTAACTACAGAAATATTGGCAGCAAAAATATCATCTACTGAGGCCAAAACAGAAAACATGTTCAGGGGGAAGGATTCATCCACTTGATCAATTCATACATAATACAAAAAAAAAAGCTAAATTTTACACGATATTTTATTACCTAAAATGGAGGGGAAATTTGGCTTAAGGAAAGACAGTTCCTAGGACCAACATAGATAGTGGAAGACGGGAAGAGAAGCGCATGTTGCTCTTGCACTCCATCAATTTATTGTATTTTTTGGCCATAACACTACAACTAGCTAGTTGGAGATTCCCAAAAAAAGAGGGAAAGAAAAGAAGCAGCATAATCGTCGGTGCAGATTTACACTTGATAAGACGATCCATGTGATACAACTTCAACATTATTTTAATAGACTATATACCTGCAATCATTTACCGTAACAGCAGCACCATTAGTTTATAAGCAACAATTGAGTCCCTTTCAGTAGAAGATATAAGATCAATAAAACAGAGTGACAAAGAGATCAGAGCAAGTTAATTATCCGATAAGGCATTATTAGTACTAATTGACTATCCTGCAGCAAACAGAAAATGGTTAAAGATGCTATACTTATTTTGAGCTTATTTAAGCTTCCATTTAATCTAAGCATTTTTTAAAGTTTTGAGAGAGTTTATGAAAATAATTTGTGATTTCTTGGTAAGCTGTTCTTTTCTTATTTCAACCTTTACAAGATAGCTTACCAAAAAATAAAACTAAATTGTAACTTCTAAGATAACATTTAACCGAATCTAAAATTTATTTGAATAAATTTCTCCGTGAGTGCTATTAGAAGAAAAAGAAACTTTGAAGATTAAATGAATCAAGCTGCACCTGGCTTTTATAGGTTTTCATTTTGGCTCCTATTTGATAAATTTCTCACTTGACACCTATAGGAACACTTACGAAAAAAAGAAAATATCCAAAAGTGAAATAAGTTTATTTATCCCAAAATGTAAAATTAGCTAATCTGAAAGGTAAAATCAACAGTAAGGAGAAGTTAAATGATTTTAACTTTCTCTGAAAGGTTATTTTAACTAATACGTAAATAAATTTTATCGTATAATAATGTTTTTTCATTTTTAATTTTTCCCTATCAATACTTTTGGAAAAAATTATCCAAACATGATCATATTCAATGTCCCCAAACATGATCAAATAGCTCAATTCATTTTATCATCTTTTACATAAGACTTCATTATTCATCTACAGAAACAATTTATTCATTAAGCTGTTAATTAAAATGCTTAGATCAAATTCCATTCTAGCACATAAAGATAGAATCGCCTTTAGTCTGCTGACACTCCCCTTCCCCAACTCAATTGGAGGGAGGAAAACCAGCTTCAGGTCAACTACAAACATCAAATTCATAACACTTTTGAAGCAAAAACAAGCCACCAAAAATTTCAAGTTTCAGCAATCTTGAATTATGTAATATCAACTCGGTAATCATAACGTATTCTCTCCTTCAACAATATAAACCTTCAAATTTCAAGATCCCAGTTGAAAAACACAATTAGGATTGGTCATCAATAACACTCTTCAACAATTACAACACACACACATTAACCTAACCAAAATTCTATACTCTCTCCAATGGTCATCTCCAACTCCAACCGAAATTGGAGTTTCAAACTCACAATTATCACAATATAATCAGCACAATATATGTTTACATAGAGGATCTGGTAGAAGACTTTCTCCATAAGCAATTATACTGGAGAAGAATAGCAAGAGAAATTAAATTTTATATATATAATTTTTTTGTAAGTTTCATTCAATTTGTCATTTCTAGAGTTTATTACAGTGAAGCTAGTTGATCAGAGCAGAATTCTGGTGTAATTTAGCACTAAAAAAGCGATGCATCTAAGACAAAGAAAAGAAAAGAAAAAACAGAGCACCACCTTATAGCAAAGGCGCTTGGGCACCTCGAGGNTCCCCAAACATGATCAAATAGCTCAATTCATTTTATCATCTTTTACATAAGACTTCATTATTCATCTACAGAAACAATTTATTCATTAAGCTGTTAATTAAAATGCTTAGATCAAATTCCATTCTAGCACATAAAGATAGAATCGCCTTTAGTCTGCTGACACTCCCCTTCCCCAACTCAATTGGAGGGAGGAAAACCAGCTTCAGGTCAACTACAAACATCAAATTCATAACACTTTTGAAGCAAAAACAAGCCACCAAAAATTTCAAGTTTCAGCAATCTTGAATTATGTAATATCAACTCGGTAATCATAACGTATTCTCTCCTTCAACAATATCAACCTTCAAATTTCAAGATCCCAGTTGAAAAACACAATTAGGATTGGTCATCAATAACACTCTTCAACAATTACAACACACACACATTAACCTAACCAAAATTCTATACTCTCTCCAATGGTCATCTCCAACTCCAACCGAAATTGGAGTTTCAAACTCACAATTATCACAATATAATCAGCACAATATATGTTTACATAGAGGATCTGGTAGAAGACTTTCTCCATAAGCAATTATACTGGAGAAGAATAGCAAGAGAAATTGAATTTTATATATATAATTTTTTTGTAAGTTTCATTCAATTTGTCATTTCTAGAGTTTATTACAGTGAAGCTAGTTGATCAGAGCAGAATTCTGGTGTAATTTAGCACTAAAAAAGCGATGCATCTAAGACAAAGAAAAGAAAAGAAAAAACAGAGCACCACCTTATAGCAAAGGCGCTTGGGCACCTCGAGGTTCGCCAATTTGAAGGAGGTTCTCGTTCTCTTCGATGAGCGCGTGGCGCGAGGCAATGTGGCTGAGTGTGGTCCTCAGCCCGTAGAAATCCTCCTCCGTAAACTCCGTGAGCCTCGCGATCAGCTCCCTCCGGATCTCCGTCACCACGCCATCACCTTCGTCTTCCTCCTCCTGTGCCGCCTCTTCCTCAAGGCGGAGCCTACACAACGGGCACGACGCGTGGAGGTCGAGCCACGGCGTGATGCAATCGGCGTGGTAGAGGTGTTTGCAGGGTAATTGTTTGGCCTCGGCGTCGAGGACAATTTGGTCTTTGCAAACGGCGCAGAAAACGACGCCGTTGGGGTCGAGCGCGGAAAGGAGCGAGGGTGTGACGTTGACGGAGGGAAGAGGGCGGGGTTTGGCGGGGAGGGGCTTGGGGGAGAGGAGTAAGAGCGCGTCCTGGAAAACGACGTCGAAGAGGGGTGATTCGGCGTCGTTTTGGGAGAAGGGAGAGTCCATCAGTTCAAGGAAGGAGGTGTGGCAGTGGGGACAGAGGAGAGGCGAGGGAAGGAGCGTGAGGGACACACTCATATCGCATTCGTGGCACCAGTAGGTCTTCGCTTCTGGCTCCGCCGCCGTCGCCATCGGAGGAGAGGGTGGTGGTGGCGGTGGCGGAGGAATGAGGTGAGAAGCACTAATAATAATGAGTGTGAGGTGAGTTGGGTGAGGAATTTAGAGAGAGAAAAAGGTGGGACCCCCACCGACTCTCTGATGGTTCGTTTCTCTATCGCTTTTTCCTTTTTTGTTTCCTTCCGTTTGGTACCTTTCCTAGTGCAACCTTTCAACCACATAAAATATTATATATAAATACAATTTAGTGGACCCAGATTCCAACGACGTCGCTTTGGCCGAGTGGTTAAGGCGTGTGCCTGCTAAGTACATGGGGTTTCCCCGCGAGAGTTCGAATCTCTCAGGCGACGATCATTTTTTCATTTTCTATTTTTTAAAAACAAAATGTGTTAAAAAATGGCTGCGAAGACTTGTCCATGTTTTGACCTTTTTATTCAGTGCATGTATCATGTTGCTTTAGACTGGCATAGTGTTAGGTTTATATCGTAATGTTTTGATGAATATAAATATATTAAAATTATAATACAATCATATCCTAAGAAAACTTTAAAAAATATAATAAAATTGAAATAACTCAGATTTTAATATTTTTTTCATGGATATTTGTGAAGTGTTAAATTTTAAAAACGGATTAGTCAACCGATAAAATGTTTTCATTAATTTATTTGATTAATTAAATTAAAAATTGATTGGTGCTGCAACATAAATGCCAATTAAGAGAAGACTTTCCTTTCGAAAGTCATATTTAAAACTGCACCTTTAAATAATACAAATCCCAGTCAGGAAGAAAAACAAAAGAATCCAAGTTAGGATAAGTATTTTTTTTTTCAAATTAATGTTTTATAGATAGAGTTGTTTTATAAATATGTTTAAAAATTATTCTCGAATAAATACTGTAGAATTATTTATATATTTATAGAGTTCGTTCTTTCTATCACAATTAGGTGGGTTGAAAGAGAAAAACATATATAAATATTTTAGTCTTGACTTCCTTCAACTTTTGTGTATTCAATAATAAACTTTGAATTGAAAACTATGAAGTAAGAGAGTTTCCTTCTCAACCTCATTCTTTTATCACAAAACTTTTATAATGTTTCAAAGTAGAAATAGTATTATTTAAGTATTATATTTTGAATGAGAAAAATTAATAATAAACATATTTTAAATATTCTTATGGATATTGTGAATTATAATTATATTAAACACTTATTTCAATAGTTTGTTTTTAGACATTTTATATATTGTGTTTTGACATGAAGTACCACTACAAGAAATGTGGGTTTTTCCGGTGGTATTTTACCGAGGGCCTACGACCCCTCGGTAATGCTGTGGTGAAATAAAATATCGAAGGCTTATGGGTCCTCGGTAATGTTTTCGAAGTATATTGGCCAAAATCAAGCTATTCCCTCTATGCAATTCATTTTCCAATAGCCCAAGTTTCGTCGTCCAAAACCCTTCCTCAGAAACCCTTCATCTTTGCTCCTCCAAAACGTCATCTTCCTCTCCTCTCCAACGAGAACACCAAACCCCAAGACCCAAGCATTTTCGATTTTCTAATTTTTTTCTTAATCAATGTCTGGATTATACATTTTCAGGTAGCATCTGCCACGGTATTTTCTCTCGAGAATCATTGTAGTTACACAGTTTGGCTGGGGACGCTTTCCGGCAACGGCGCTGGCATTCTCGGTTCTGGCGGTTTCGCCCTGCAGCCCGGTTTGTCGGTCCACCTCACAGCTCCGTCCGGCTGGTCAGGCCGCTTGTGGGCTCGGACTGGATGCACCTTTGACGACTCCGGTGCCAGAAAATGCGCCACCGGAGACTGTGCGGGGGGACTTAAATGCACCGGCGGAGGAGTCCCGCCGATGACGCTGGTGGAGTTCACGATTGGAAGCTCCGGGAACGGTAACAAGGACTTCTACGACGTGAGTCTCGTGGACGGTTACAACGTGGGAATGGGAGTGAGGGCTCTCTCCCCAAATTACCAAAATTTGGAATCCCTCTCTCCTCTGCCGAAATTTGGAATCCCTCTCTCCTCTGCCCAAATTTGAAATCCTTCTCTCCCACCCTTCGCAAATTACCGAAGGCTTTTGCCCTTCGGTAATTACCGAAGGCTTTTGGCTCTCGGTAATTGTTAGCGACAAGGGATTTACCGAGGGCTCATTGGTCGTCGATAAGCCGTCTGTAAATACCATATACCGACGGCTTATGGCATTTTTCGAGGACTTTTGGCCTTCGATAAAGCCTTTCTTTTTGGTAGTGTACGAAGAGACTGAAAATTGAAATTATTTGAATTGAATAAAAATGAATGAAAAAAATAAATAGAAATATTATCATAAATTTTATTAACGTGATAGAAAAATAAATGGAAATATTATAATAAATTTTATTAAAGTGATAGAAAATAAATAAATTATATCTTCTTGTTTAGATTGACATATCAACTTTAACAAAATATAGAAGGGAATTTAATAATAGCATTAAAGAGTTGTATAATAATCTTCACACATCGTTTAATATAACAAAATTAACTGATCTATTACAGTGATTAATATGTTCTTATGAAATACAACCAGTTTACAAATATTTATAAAATGTTGTTTGTCAACTAGTGCAAAATTGATCTTTAAAGTTACCTCATCGACGTCGTCCCCCAAAAACCCCAACGTAAATAATTGACGGTGGCATAAATGAAATAATTGAGTGTGGAGACGTCCGTCCTAGACGGGGCCGGACGTCTATAATACAGTAGACGTCCGACCCCTCTAACAGACGTTCAAGGGGTTGACAGGTTCAACTACTCTGTCAGCCTCTTAAACGTCCGTCCTGGAGGGGGACGGACGTTTAATATATATAGAGGTCCGTCCCCCTCCAGGACGGACGTTAAGAGCGGACAGAGTAAGTAGTTGAAAACCTGTCAAGCCCTCTGAACGTCCGCTCCTGGAGGGGGAAGGACGTCTATATATATTAAACGTCCGGACGTTCAAGGGGCTGACAGGTTCAACTACTCCGTCAGCCTCTTGAACGTCCGTCCTGGAGGGGGACGGACGTTTAATATATATAGACGTCCGTCCCCCTCCAGGAGGGACGTTCAAGAGGCTGACAGAGTCAGTGAAACCAGTAGCCCCTTGAACGTCCGTCCTGGAGGGGGACGGACGTCTATATATATTAAAAGTCCGTTCCCCCTCCAGGCCGGACGTTCAAGAGGCTGACAGGTTCAACTAACTCTGTCAGTTCTTCTTGAACGTCCGTCCTGGAGGGGGACGGACGTTTAATAATATCTAGACGTCTGTCCCCCTCCAGGACGGACGTTCAAGAGGCTGACAAAGTAGTGAAACAGTCAACCCCTTGAACGTCAGTCCTGGAGGGGGTTACGAACGTTTATATATATTAAAGTCGTCCCCCTCCAGGACGGGGTTAGCGTCAATTTGAGGCTGGACCGGTCAACTACTTAGTCCGCCCTCTTGAACGGTCCGTCCTGGAGGGGGACGGAGTTAAATAGCATAGAGTCCGTCACCCTCCAGGAAGGAGTTTCAAGAGGCTGACAGAGTAGTTGAAACCAGTCAGGCCCTTGCACGTCCGTCATGGAGGGGGACGAACGTTATATATATTAAACGTCCGTCCCCTCCAGGACGGAGACGTTCAGAGGCGGACGAGTAGTTGGACCAGTCAGCCCCTGGAACGTCGTCCTGGAGGGGACGACGTTTATATAGATTAAACGTCCGTCCCATCCAGGAGGACGTTCAAGAGGAGACTGAGTAGTAGTTGAACCGAGTCAGCCCCTTGACACGTCCGTCCTGGGGGGGACGGACGTTTAATATTCTAGACGTCGTCCCCCTTAAGGACGGACGTTCAAGGGGCGATGGTCAACTAAGCTTTCAGCTCTTGAAAAGTCCGTCTGGATGGGCGGACGTCTAATATATTAAACGTCCGTCCCCCTTCAGGACGGACGTTCAAAAGACGTTTAAAATAAGGACTTACTAACCAAAACGCGAACCCGCGAGGAGTTATGCGAACCCGTGAGATTTCCCTCTGCGCCTTGCATTTCCAGGTTGGTTTTTATCTGTTTTGGACCATTTAATCTTACTTTTATTCCGATTAAATCGTTCAGTGATGAAAATATGTATTTGAACTGATAAAAGCGTTTCTGTGCATTTTGTGCGTTTGTACGTGTTCTTGGGCGGCGTTTTTGGCCTACGTTTTTAGGTCGTTTAATCCTCTCTCCTCATTTTTCATTTTCGAATCTGCTCTTCAGACGGTTGCAGTGCACAAAAACACGTCAAAACCCTGTAATCCTAAGAACCCGATAAATAACCAATAACCCGCTAATAAGCCCCTTTCTGCAGTAGTGTAGACGTCGAGCGGTTCACAGCGGACGTTATATAGGACGTCCGTTGACACAGCGGACGTCTATATAGACGTACGGCCTTTGACACAACAGACGTCTATATAGACGGTCCGACCTGACACAAGGACGGTCTACATAGACGTACCCACATAGACGTCCGTTGGAGGTCGGACGTCAAAAGACCCACAGAACGGACGTCTATAGCCCGTTCTGCACTAGTGTGTTAGTTTATAAGAAAAACAAATAAATTAAATTCTTAAAATTCCAAATTCAATCCAAGCATATTGACTTAAAACAACAAAGTTAACTGATCTCTAAACTTATTTAGTTAAGCGATATGTTAAAAGTTGCACTTAAATTTCCTAACCTTATTATACAATCACCATAATTTATTCATAAATCAAAGGTTTTTGTATTCTTATAAAGTTAACAAAAAGAGTAAAATGTGAAACAAATTCTTATACTTTAGTTGTAGATGAATTTTAATTATCTTATTTTTAAAATTTAAGAAAATATCAATTATTTTTAAATAATTACATATTTATTTTTACTTCACTTGAAATTAATTTATAGGTGACTTTTCTTATTATGTACAAATTGAGAAGAGTTAATATAAAGCACTTCTTAACTTGTTTAAATCAAAATAATTTATTTATTTATTTAATTTATAATGGCTATAACAAAAATTTACATGATACAAAAAATTGATAAAGAGCGACAAAAATTCATTTCAATAAAAATTGGAGTGGTTTCACAGCACAACCG